CCCCCCCCCCCGGGCCATCTCCACGTCCCTGCCCCTCCCCACAGCCTTCTCCGCGTCCCTGTCCCTCCCCACGGCCTTCTCCACGTGAGGTAGGCTACATAGTTGTTCATCTTTAATGTGCCATTTCTACACTAGGCGAGTACAGTTGTGTGAACGAAGAATGGAGAAAGTTCGGCATTGCCTGCTGAATTTTCTTTGTAGGGGGTCTAAATGCAATCAGATAATGCCAAATCTTTAAAATATTCTTTGTTTCTTTTAATTTAAGAAAATGCAACGTTTGACTAGAGTCCCCCCTTGTGGCAGCTATGTGCAGCAATTTGTTCTCCAGCGCTCTCCTGACGCATAGGAAAATGTTGTAGTTGAGAACAAATATCCCTATGTTATTACACCGTTTATTTCATCTTTGGTACTCGCGACAAAAACCAAAATGCGCTTGGATATCCACGGGGGCGATGGCTGATCATGGCCTACATGTACATGTACACTAGCTGCCAGGTTATTTGTGACGCTTGTGGTGTTCTTCTTGTGGACTGACTACAGGGAAATCCAGAGGAAAAGAAAGGAAGAAAGGCTAACATGTCAGGTTATTTGCACCTTAATTGGATCCTCCAGTGGTGGTGATGAAAAGATAAATGAATAAGATAACGATTATTTTGAAACGGTGTCACTTATGTTCCACTTTCCGAAGACAAAATCCGAATCTCAACGATTTTAGGTATCAGTACCCATAATCGGGTTCGTAGCCAAGTTGGGTGGGTGGGTCGAACTGTTCGAAACAACTCTGTTTGCTGTGAAAATGTCCACTCTGGATAAATTTGGTCCATTTGCACAACAGCCCGGAATTCGATACAATTTCCATAGGTACAAGCAGAGTTGCTTCAGTTTTTTTTTTTTTTTTNACCCGTACTCTAACTTAAAGCCAGTGCAGCTGTTTAAAAACATGTAGGGCCTAATGTAATTTGTTGGCAATGAAAAAATACACTTCAAAAATAAGTATTATTGAATTAATAGGCCTATTGTAGTGTCAGAAGCATTTATACTTGAAATGTTCTGAAGGTAAGAAAAGTATGCCATTAAAAATTTATATAAAAAACATTACCAGCCCAGAACCCACCGGTCTGCCGCTAGGTGGTTTAAAAAAACCCGGAAGTTATAGATTTTTGAAATGGGATTAATTTTTTTTTTTTTTGATTTATAGGATGTCAGAAAAGGTGGACTATCTCGGCTATTAAGGGTACATGTATAAGAGTTTCGTTATGTACGGAAATTTAACTTTATCTCCAGTGCTTGCATTCTTAGAGAACAGGTCGGAATTTTAAATTACAGCAAGTTGTGGCAAATTTATTCAGCTTCATGTCAATGTAAACAAGTAAGGAACTTCACCTTCATCCAGCATTGGCACAAATCAATTCACAGCAGAGTATGCAGAAAAAAGTGCTTGCAATATCCATGTGCCTCGTTTTGACTTAGTACATTCTAATCTAGCTTCGTTTTGGATTATTCTTCGCACATATATTGAGAAACAAAACTTGCACAGGAAGAATGGGAAAAACGAAAGTATAATTATCTCATTTTTTTCTCTGTAAATAAGCATTTATCTATTACACGAGGTGGATTGATGAGTTTCTTTTTATGAAAAGACAAATAAAAAACAAATGAGTACTTTTTATCAATTGACTCAATTTATAAATTTTTTACATAATTATGAGCAACTTTTATAACACAAGTCAACAAAGTATCAATATTGTGACAGCCAACAGGGATTAAAGCTTTGCAAATATACATGCAGATTTGTGGCAAAAAGTGTTATTTTTTATTTTCGCAACATTCATTTATTTTACACATCTAGTGATTTATTTTACACATCTAGATCAGTACATATAGGCTACAGTTAGCCAACAAACACACCACCCACTTTTACAAACGGGACCAATTTTAACAAATAATATTTTATAAATTTACCCAAGGTCAGCAGTTCTTTTCTCACCGACACCAATCCATATTTGCATTTGAATTAACTTTTGTTTTTTTAAGAATAATTTTTGTTTACAAGCCACGTCATGTATGCAAAAGCTTGCACATTAAACTTAATATACCCTACTTTTGGTGCATGGTTCAAACCTACCGGTAAAATAATATGACAAACTAGTTATACTGAGTTATCTAGTTATACTAGTTATCTCTTAAAAGAATGTCAGAGGTTGTGACGGTGCTCAATGCTACACGGCATTTGGAAATGATAGGTGCATTCTGCCAAGGAATGGCAAAATGATTAATCCTGGTCCCATTCATGTTCTTCAAGCCTAGAAAAATATCAAATTAAAAAGTTTTAAAAAGTAACATAAAAACACTTTTCTAACTGCAAATGTCTTTCCACACACACAACAACACGCACACTAAACTCGATATAAATAATAAATAACAATCTTGGTAATAAAGCTGGTAGAAAATACATACTGGGGTACATGTCTACAAACTACAGTGTTCACAACTACCACACTAATTATTGTACTGGTACATTTTGTTTCACAAAATACACAATATTTCTAACTTAAAACAAAGGAATAGTTTAAAAAATATAAGGTTTTTATTTCATGAAACAATTTTCTTTCACAAACTAATAAGCCATGTGTATGCAGGTGTGTGTGTGTGTGTGTGTGTGTGAGTTTGCGTGTGATGAGAGAGAAAGAGAGCATATATAGCAGTCAACTTGCAAGACAAAAATAAAGTTATGGCAAAAAAACAATGCATACATGTAATGTACGATGCCGTATTCTCAAAAGCATTAGGATCTGTTCTCCTAACTAAAGAACCAGTTTTGTTGACACATCCAGCAGATACTCTAGCACTCAAAAAAAAAAAAAAAAAAAAAGATTGATTACGTATACGCTAAATATACTGATAGTCAATGAAAACGCATCATTTATTTTTTGAATAGTATTTTAAGTTCCTTTGGAATATTTCGTGTGAAATATGACCCATTATTCAGTCACACAAGGTGAAATAAAGATCAGAAAAGATCATTAAAATGCAAGGTCACGTGATCAAATCTCTCCCCAGTCGCTCTTCCAGTGTCAGACGTGGCATCACATTACTTTTTTTGTCATGTGTCATACTGGATTTGGTGACTACCTTAAATAGGCTTAATTAATCACCATATATTGAACCTGATTAATTCACACCAAGGAAAAACACAATTTTGTAACAGCTGACCACAAAATCAATAAAGTGGAAATTTTAAACATCCGAGTGGTCAGCCCACTCTCTTTTGACCAAATAAGTGCATCTGTACTCGTTTATATGGTTGGAATCAATTCTAGGTAAAAGTACAAGAGTACAAAAGTACAAGAAAGTTTTCTGATGCGTTTTCATCGACTGTCAGTATATAAACCTCGTTGGAAATATCGAAAACCACCAAGTTACAGGTTTGGTCAATGCTCAAAAATTTTTTATGTTCAAAAATGAATGTCAAACTATGGAAAAACCTGAACAGACAAAGGAAAAAGTCCATCTACATTTGGCACAATTCGAAAACACAGTTACAATGCCGCTTTGTATGCTGCCATTTTGGAAGACGAATGTAACTTCAGAAAATACTCAGTGAAATCGATACACGAACATTCCTTTGGGGTATAAAATGTAACTGAAGCATATGCTGTATGATCTTTTTGAATTTATTAGCATATAAATCAACTGGTCATTGTATAAACATATGTACATCTTACCTGTCTCAATGCCTTCTTCTCCCACCATTTTTTCTTAGAGCTATCCGCTCCCTTTTTGAAAACGAGGCCAAATCTAATATTTTCCTAAATAACTGTCATATGAGCCAGTGGCTCCTGGGCTTTACTAAAACTGCATTTCATTTCAAACAAAAAAAAAATACTTGCTTCCTTCCATGTTTCCCTTCACTGTTTGGAGATTGTTCAAGAGAAATAAACTAAAAATCCACAGAAGTGTTTCTAAACACTCGAATTACAAAAATGCTCAACAGAAGACTGTACCCAAGTGGTATAAAAAATAATCAATTTGAATAGGATGCCATCTACATCTTCACTACAGTACCAATGTGTGTTAAATAATGCAAATTGCCATTTCATACTTTACCCAGGAAATGACAAAGAAAACAACCATCAATATCTTCCTGACAATGATAACTATTCTAAGTTTATTCATTACTGCAAGTTAAAAAAAAAACAAAAACAGAAAAAGGCTTTGTAAAAGACTAAATTATGCAATGTAAACAATAAACAAACTTTATGATCAAGATATATATTGGTCTATATGAGCATCACATTATTAAGTGAACTGTTCATTGTTCATATATATACAAGTATATGTCATAGAGGCAAACTGCCCACATAAGATCACAAAAGATACGAAGAGCTGTACACTGTGGTCATCAGGATCACTCAGTTTCACACTTAAGTGCAGATTCATATTTAAGAGTACATGAGGAAAATTCTTATTTCAACCAAAACCAGGCTGCGTGAAAACTACCAAGAGCTAATAAGTTGATGTGTTTTTTACAAATACATAATCTGCATTTCATTGGAGGAATATAAACAGGAATATTAACAGTATAGTATTAACAGTATATCGCTTCTGGTACTGTCTGGTACCATTTATGATTCAGATGAAGAAATGCCTTTAATAATTTTGTTCTCAGTTGAAAATGCATACTACATATTAAATGTTAATTTTAAACCATTTGTAATTTTTTCACTGCACTCTCTATTGACGGATTGCCTGCAGTTAAGTAAGGTGGAAAGGATAACACGTGGCTTTGTTTGCTGGCTGTTGCTGTCAGGTAGCAGGCCTGTAGCCAGGGGGGTTCGGGGGTTCGAAAGAACTGCCCTTTTTGTCAGAAAAAGGTCCATTCTGGGGTACTCTGCCACAGGTGTACTGGTAAGACATCTAGACATGAATCACTGGATGACATAAATCACTAATTAATCCTGAATGACAGGTCTATACCAGTTCTCTTGCTGCCTTGTAACCACTCCCTGAAAAATGCACAACAGATAAAACTGATTTTAATAAAATGTAAAAAAACCAAAAGGTTCAGACTATTGAGAGTTCAAGTACACACTTTGAAAATGCCAGAATAAGAAAAATGAAAATATTTCAAAAATATTAAAAATTTAATGAAAAAAAGATAATCCTATAGAACTGGTTTTCTAATTTGAGCATCACAGGATAACCAAGACTGCAAGCAGCATGGCAGGTTAACCGAGACTGCCAAAACATGGCAAGACAAGTGTGACTGCCAGCATCATGGCAGGACAACTGAAACTTCCAGAACATAGCGGGACAACCGAGACTGCTAGCTGGATGGCTTCAATGGTAGCCATTGTAATCCTTTCAGAATGGGAGTTATATGATGTGCACTATTGCACTTTATTTGACAAACCAGTTTTGCAGCCGAGTTTTGAATAACTTGTCTGATAGTCACATGTACCAAAGAGGAGACTTGCAGTAATCTTATCTTGATGATTTTTTTAAATAGATTTACTAATTTTTCAGTGGTTCTGTTATAAAACACTTTTCTTACTTTTCCAAGTGCATAAGATGCTGATTTACACACTTCAGATACATGCTTCCCCACACAGTGCCATTTCCATTGAGGGTAACTACCAGATCTTTTACAGAACTAGATGGTTTTATAAGAACATCTATGCAAATGTTGGCATTTGCTGCATTTTGCTTTGAACCTTGATGTAAACTATCCTCTACCAGGGCACAGTGTTCATTCTAGGAATGTTTCAATATGGGACAAAGGGCCCCCATCATAAAAAGAAGTGGGTCATTACATTTTGAAGTGGGCCCTTTTTCAAATCTTAAAATAATAATATGTAACACGTGTTTTACTGCTGTGGTTTTAATATTCAGAGATGAAAAATACTTTATATCATAAAAATAATATTTTGGCTTGCAGGTTCACATTCAATAGGTTATCCCAACTTTCTAAAATAAGAGACTACACGCTCGAAATTTTGTTTACAAATATAAGATTACACTGAAATATGTTGATGATTCTTTCACCAATAATCAAATTCTTACTAAAACAAGATTTTAAAGCCATTTTTGGCTTCAATTTATGAAAAAATCCATGAAATTTAATTAATTATATAAGGTGAGATGGCACATAAAAAGCTACCAGATTGAATGATATCACAAACATAAAAATCACTAAGAGAATCTGTCCCTTTTTTGATACCTACAAAGTGTACAGCTCACTGCTTGTTATAAATTCTACATTTCTTTTCCTTTTTCCAAATATCTAAGGCACTCTTAAAGTCAAAGTCCCCAATTGCCTTTCCTTCTATCATAATGACCAAGCACTGCTGAAGTCTTGTTTCAGACAGTCTGTTTGTTCTGTGGTTTTTTGATGTAGTTTTGAGAACTTAATGTTCTCTCACAATCTGACGTGTGTATCGGAAGGATGAGGGAGATTGCAGCCAGCTTCAACAAATTGGGAAAGTCTTCACTATGGTGAGTTTTGATAATGCTCCACAGTTTGCAGGTGGCATCTCTCGCATACCCCATTCTGAAAACCAATTCTTTGAGTTTAGACCATTCACTCATACCTTGTTTTTCAATTATTATTGGCACTGATTTGGACCCATGATGTTCAATAATGTTACCATAATGGCTAGCAAGTTTCTGTATAGGGACTTCACCCCAATTTTCTCTTTCTGACTCAGACAAAAAGCTTAGTGGTCTCATGCTCAAATACCCAAATGCTGTTACCATATCCAAGTGATCCTGGGGAAATCTGGCATTTATGTTGTTAAATGAGATTGTCAATAAATTGACACTGAATTGCCTTGCATTGTTTTTCATAATTAGCACAACAAGTCAGAAGGTGGTCCCTGAAGAAATTACGTTGACCTGTTCCCACCTTCAGGAGAAATTCCTCGATGTAGCTGCCAGGTTTACCAGACAACCCTTCACTACTTGTGGCATGGTCCCTGTGCTTTTGCAGTTCTCTCAATGCATGCTTCACATTAACATCCACCAAGGCTGGGTCAAGATCTTTCTTTTGGAAGAGTAAACATAGCTCTGTGACAATGCTGAGGATGGACAAAAGCATATGGGTGACAAAAACAAAACTGAATTGTGAAAGTTTCTTTGCAAAACCTTTTGCCTTGGCATCACTTGCCCCCATTTCAGACATATAGGACACTAATGACCCATAAGTCCTGTAGATTGTTTCTATTGCTTTGTAGTAGGGCAACCATCGAACCTCATGGACTTCATTGCACTTTAAAATAGGTTCATCCAGCAGCTCCTGAATAGCTGTGATTCTGTTTACCCTGACAGATGATGCTTTAAAGTAATAAAATATACTGGTAATAGTTGATTGATAGTCCTTCATATAGTCTATAGCATTTGCTGCCTGGCTAGTACATAAAGCCAATCTGTGGGCAATACAGTGTATGTGAACCATCGCAGGATTTTCAGCAAGCAGTCTGCCTGCAACTCCATTTCCCATGCTGGTCATGCTCGCTGCACCATCAGAACCAAAACCATATATCTTACTAAGGGGGATCTCCTTTGATTTAATATTTGATAACTGCTGCAACTGTGGCACCCTTGCCATCTGTGACATTTATGTCGGCTACAAAGTGGGTAGAAGGAACAAAGTTATCATCTAAAAGTCTGACACATATAACCAACTTTTTTGTTACTGTTATATCAGTGCTCTCGTCTGCTAGTATTGTTAGAAATGGTGAAGACTTCATTTTCTGAAGCAAGTCTTCCTCAACTGTGGCAGCAATAGCAGCAACCATATCCCACCCTGCTGTATCAGAATTATACTTTGCATTGCCTCCTTGGTCTAAGTATGAAAGGTTGGGGCAATCCAGGTGCCGTAGCAACTCTATTAGGCTTCCAAACTTTCGAATTGCTATGCCCTCTTGAACTAGCCAGTACACGGACTTCATTGCTGACATGATTGCTCCATCTTTACCTAAAAATGTTTTATAAACATTACTTTAAATATGAATTTGGACATTATAACCTGCATAAAATGTTTAATAGTGTTGAAGGTACCAGCAAACATTACTCCAGCACACAATCCCTTACTTTATTTTTCCCTTAATCACCATGAACAGAGACCAAATCTCTCCACACACTAAAATTATGAACAAGGCAGCAAAGCTGTCAAATGTACGGACAAAAACAGAAAATAAAAATGCAGAAAATGGGTCATTTTGTCAATTTTGATGCAATAATAAATAATGCCTATAAAAGCACTGTCAATCAACACTGAATTTTAATCATGCACAACAGGTAACATGGTCAATAACAGGAGCAGATCCAGAGGTATTTTCTGACAGTATTCCAAATTAACTTTGTTGATCCCTCCTCCATTTTTGATGGTCTTCCAACAGAAAAAACAGATACCCATCAATGTGAACTTTAAAATCTGACTGTCATCTGAAAGACCCAGAAGACGGCCTCAATCCTCCCCTGCAATAAGATTACAGTTTCAGGACCATGAGAGTTCAAATTCACATAATGAAAATCCCAATATTTGAAAAATGATGACAGTGCATAAAATAATATTACATAATGTTTAAAGACATAAAAATCAATGCAACTGCTTATGTGGAAATACAGAAAATGTGAAGAGCTTCAGGTGGATGCATATGGGAGCTGAAAATGCCAGTGTTTGAAAAAAAAAATGAAAAGAAAACACAACAAAAATATTCCAATAAAGCTGCTATTTAAACTTTTAATCTTGCTGTATTAACATGATATGAATAACCCCAATGTGTATGAGGATAATAAGGCACTGTTATTCATCTATAGCATTAATGTTGGCGTTACACAAATTTTTTCTTTTGTAAACTTATTTGCAATATTAAACAATATTTACCTGCATAATTATCACTAATTCCTAATTATGTGGCACAGTTAAGAGAGCTTAACCTATGGGACTTTATTGGGAAATCTCAACGTGTGTTTTATGTAAACTTATTCAATGGGCACTTGGAAATTAATTAGGCAAGTGATTTTATAGCTCTGAATTTAGCTTGTGACTACCCCAAGGGACAATTACCACCACCCATAAACAGTAGCCCCATACAGCACTCTATAGAGCTGCATTGCTTCCAAAACAGAAAACAATCACAATGATTTTCCAACATAAACTGCACTTCAGTCTTATGAAACTTTTCAGTAAGTTTGAATATCATAAGTAACATGGTTTTTCCTTAATGGTCATTCCAGCAGCAATGTCCAAAATAGGGTTTTCTTCAACTTTTATGCAATATAACATAATGACCATCAATTTTTAATTATAGAATAAAAGTATCATGGATATTCAGAAAATGTGACATGGAAAGGTCTTCAAGGCCATGGGAGTTCAGAGTCACACCCTCAAAATGCCAAAATGTAAACAAGAGATAACTGTACTGAAATGATTTTCTTTCCACTTTCAACACATTTCTTTACATAAATCAAAATAATCAATTTACTGTCATTTTTAAATGAACAACTAAGAAAATTGTTGACATAGGAAAAATATCAATAGAACATCTTTAAATGTCCAGTTTGCTCCATTCTGAGATTCTGAACATGGTGAATGATTGAATCTTACAAACTGTAAAGATATGAGTTTATTTCCATTTTTAGACACTTTACTACACAACACACAATAACAGGTTTACCATCATTTTTATATAATCAACTAACAATATTGTTTAGATGCAGAAAATGTCAAAAGAACACCTTTACATATTTAATTAGTTCACAAATGAGATTGTTAGCATGACTAAGAATTAAATCTGAGGAAAAAAACACTTATATACAAAAAAAGGCATTACTTTACCAAAACTAACCAATCGAGCTTATTTTCTAACTTCATCTGTATTTCAGTAAGACTGATCAGCCCTGTGAATTTCATGACAATTGGCCAATTGATTTTCCTTGAAATGTGTTATCGATATTGCATATATGCTGAAAAAAGTAAAAAAACAGCATAACTTCCATAAAATTGGTCCGATCACGCTGATTTTCAAACTTGACCTACGTATTATGAATAATCATCAGTTTTGTAAGTTTCAAGCCAAAAGGTAAAATGGTTTTTCACTTATCGTGTTATCGGTGCTGCATATATGCTGAAAAAAAAAATGAAAAAATAGCATAACTTTTATAAAAATAGCCCGATCAGGCTGATTTTCGAACCTGACCTGTGTATTATGAATATTCATCAGTTTCGTAAGTTTCAAGCCAAAAGGTAAAACGTTTTTTCACTTATCGTGTTATTGGTGTTATAAAAATGCTGAAAAAAGTAAAAAAAAACAGCATTACTTCCATGAAAATGGCCCGATCATGCTGATTTTCGAACTTGACCTGCATATAATGAATATTCGTCAGTTCTGTAAGTTTCAAGCCAAAAGGTAAAACGGTTTTCCACTTATCGTGTTATCAGTGTTGTATATATGCTGAAAAAAAGTGAAACAAGGCAGCAAAGCTGTCAAATGTACAGACAAAAAACAGGAAATAACTATGCACAAAATAGGCTACTGTCAATTCTGATGCAAAAGTACATTATATCAAACTGCAAATTCAACATCAAATTTTAATTATGCTCAACAGGTAATACCAACGTAAGTAAAATGTGTAAAAAGTTCACACATTGAAAATGTATAACTTCCAGAAAAATAAGCCAATTAGACTGCTTTTCCAACTCAGGCTACATTTTAGTCCTGTATTTCTATTTTGAAAGTTTGGCAATCATAAGTAACATGGTTTTCCCATAATGGTCATCATGGCAGCAGCACCCAAAATTGTGTTTTCTTCAATATTCTGATGCCAAATTACATAATGGTTAACAGCATAATGACCGTCAATTTTTAATAATAAAATATACGTATCATGGATTTTCAGAAAATGTGACTAGCATGGGTCTTCAAGCCCGTGGAACTTCCAAGTCACACCTTGAAAATGGCAAAATGTAAACAAGANCTCATCATCTTATTTGTCCTCTAAAAAGAAATGAAAAACAAGATTAGATTTTTTCAAATTACCCATCCCACCCCCCACCCCCCCAAAAAAATAAAATTTATTAACCTTAGCTTTGATTCTAGAGATAAGACAGGTTTTTCAACTGAAGCTATGTTTAAGTCCTATACTACTTTTCTTTGTTTGATTTCTTAAATTGGGAGAAGTGAAAGTGACATGGTTTTCCTTTAATGGTCACGGTGGAGGCAGTGCCCAAAATACGGATGTCTTCAGTTTTGATGCGATATTAGATAATGCTTAACAGCATAATGACCATCAAATTTTAATAATCAAATAAAAGTATAATGTATATTCAACAAATGTGACATGGATAGGTCTTCAAGGTCATAAAAGTTCAGAGTCACACCTTCAAAATACCAAAATGTAAACAAGAGATAACTGTACTGAAATGATTTTTTTTCCATTTTTAACACCTTTTTTTACATAAAACAAAATGAGCAATTTACTGGCATTTTTAAATGATCAACTAAGAAAATTGTTGACATAGGAAATATATCAATAGAACAATTTCAAATGTCCTATTTGCTCCATTCTGAGATTCTGAACATAGTGAATGATTGAATCTGACAAACTGTAAAGATGTGAGTTTATTTCCATTTTTGAAACCTTATTTTATCATCATTTTCATTTAATCAACTAACAATATTGTTAAGATTCAGAAAATGTCAAAAGAACACCTTTATATATCTTATTAATTAAAAAATGAGACTGTTACAGACACATGTGTCTGTACATAAAAACAATACACAAAAGGGAAAAACACTCACTCACACTTGAGAGAAAATGCACATCAGCCTTAGAAGAGAAACACGACAACCAAACAAGCGTGAGCTAAATATGGCATAAGAAGGTTTTGTTTCTAGCCTCAAAGGGCATTCAGCTTTCAAGAACGCCCTAGAAACATGGGCGTAAGAGGAATATGACAGTAATGAAAAGAGAATATTACATGGTGGTACTAACCCATCTCCAGTAGCTTGGATTTCAGTCCATTTATGATTAATTTTTCTGCGGCGGTTATTCGAGGTCCGGGCTAAGAGCGGAGTGTTATTTGTACAAGTACATTTCCCAGAGCGAAGAGTTCGCATGGATTGAAGGGTGGAATTCACAGAAGCACACCATGGGGAAAAGACGAAACATTCGATGTTTTGTGGTAGTAACGAAACTATCCTCAGGTGCGATGCATTGGCGTAGGATCACATGAGATTTGAAGGCGGTTGCCCGAAGAAATTCGCTCTCACTTCGCGTCCTTGTACTCCTCTGGAGTGAAACGCAGTATGTCCATCCCGCTTCACAATTGCCCGCTCTTACACTTCCAATCTTAGATTGTCGGCTGGGGGCGTTGCTGTCGTCACCATCCTCTCAGTTTGAACTCGGGGGTGTCGTATGAGAGTAAGACCCATATTTCATTATTGCATTGTATATACACCTACGTTTGAAATGCATTCAGCGTTTTCATACCTATTCATTGTTTAAACAGAAAAAAAACCGCATTTACCTCGGAGGGAAGAATCAATGTTAGCCTATACTATATTAGTTTTTGGAAGGTACCCACGCATGCCTCTCCCCCAGTTATGATTGACAGTGTCCTTGCATCTTGTTGACATGATATCAACTTGAAGTTTACTAACCTGCCCCAGGCCATCATTGGAAGACCTTGTCCGCTTACACTGGAACACTTATTCACAATGCACTTTGAAGAAACTTTCATTTCATTTCTTGTTTCNGGGGGGTTAGGGAGTTACCTCCCTCAGCTCCTGTGATCTTTTATGCTGTTTAATTACCCAAATTAACAGGTCTGTAGACGGAAAGGGGGGACGAACCCCAGGTTGTTTGCTCAGGGCAACATATGACCTATGTACACGGAGGTTTCATGGCAAAGGGTCAACTAATAGAAAAAAACGTCACGTTTTGATAATCTACATCTACTACAATTA